TGAACTTTTGTAGTGTTTCTTTAGTTATTTCCTTTACGTTGATCAGAAAATTGTGAAATCCACATAGAAATATGATAGTTGTTCACATGGATCCCAATTGGGAACTGTTCTGGTAAAGGAATAGAGGCTGTTAAAACTAGTTCCCATGGGCACTGAGGGAAGCATCTCATTGGCGCATCAGCCAGTGGATCCTCTCCACAAAGAAGGCTTTGGGCTGCTGCTGGAACTATTTCAGTACCACAGCCCAGCCACACATTGGAACAACCATTTTAGAAATGATTGAACTTTCTGTAGGTTTCAGATTGCATTCAGAGGATGCATATATAGAACCTTGGGTGCAGCTGTTCAAAGTTTCTTCATGGTTTCTTGAGTTGCCTTAGTTCTGATATTATATGAACTGTTCTCCAGGACATTGTCATCTTGCACATTACATAAAGGGCTCTCATCTTATTAGGTATTGTTTATCAAGTAAAAAAAAATAATGCCTTAAAAGGAGATCATCCTATTTATCCACCTGTGACCTAACATTACATCCCAAACTCTTTGACATAGTTTGTGTAGTGACTGGCTGTTGGCTGGATGACTTTTTGGGCAAAGATTTCTGTCTTCACCACCATATCCACACCACGCCTGAAGGCCAAGGCTTCCTATCCAGTAGGCACAAGCATTTCCTTTCCCTAAAGTAAATCAGCTGGATTGTAAAACTTACAACCCACTTCCATTTCATGTTCAAGCTAAGAATGCATGGAGTTTATAACAACTTCCCTACACATATGGCATATTGCTGAATTAAGTACAACTCTCGTTTACTACAGGTAAAAATGGGTTTCATCTCATTGCTGTTATTCTGTATACAGAAAATAAAGAAAGAATTTTATTGTTTTTGTAGTGACTAAATACAGGCATTTCTTGTTACCAATTATGAAAAATTTGATTTCATTTTAATTCCCTCAACTAATTTAGACCAATTTCAATTAATAGCACCTGCTTTAATGTGAATTGCTTGCTGTTTGATCAGGAGAGGTGGGAAGAAGGTGGAGTGCAGTATTGTTTGGGTAGTGTAAGAGGTCTCAGGGAGACAAGGGATTGGAGTAGCCATGCAGCATCTATTTCCTTTACTGATTTATGCAACTTTTGCAAGGGGGTGGGGAGACAGAGCTGTCACATAAATCAAGAAAAGCACAGGACACATCCTTTGTAGATCATTTCCTATATTTTTCCAATGGTGACCCTTTGTGTTTGGTAAGACAATTGTTCATGACTAAGACATGAGGTGCTCTTAAGTTGCATACTCAGAAGAGATTGGCGTATCATGGGAGGCACCTAAATCACTTCACACTGTTGGCTGCTATCTAGCCTTCAGGTAGCCCTGGTGATATCAGACAGTATTATTATTGTAGGAAGTTATAATTATCTGCAGGAAATATAATTATTATTTTCTTGATATATGACATAAACACCATCCCAAGTGCAACAATTTATTGTAGTTCTTTTGTCTTGCCCTCTTCTACACTATATGTTTTGGCTGCAAACGGCCATCATCAGGTGTATACACTTACGTAGCTGTTACACTGCACTTAATTTAAAATTTAAAACCACGAGTCTTCCCAATTGTTCTTTTCGTTGTTGCTAACAGGTTTCGATTTATTAGAATCTACTTCACTGATATCTGTCTGATTTGTGCATTATCTTTCTTACCTACACTTGTCAATTTTGATGAACTGGCACTTTTAAAATCTTCAGTTCTAATTTAAAAATTCTTTTAAAAATTAAAATTCTCAGGGTTACTCGCCCTATGTCTGTAGTGCTGCAGTTGCTACTTCTTGTTTTCAGCACTCTTCTGTGTAGGCTCCCTGTGTGGCTGCCGCTGCTTATCTTTACTACATAGAACAATTGGGAAGACTCATGGTTTTAAATTTTAAACTAAGTGCAGTGTAACAGCTACGTAAGTGTATACACCTGATGATGGCCGTTTGTGGCCGAAACATGTAGTGTAGAAGAGAGCAAGACAAAAGAACTACAATAAATTGTTGCAATTGGGACGGGGTTTATGTCATATATCGTATAGAGTGCAACAGGATTCTTAAATATAATATTATTATCTTGAATTTATTGAGTTAGCAGTCCACTTTTTAATGCCCTCTTTCAAATCATTTGTCTAGGTAACAGTCCAATCTTGTATAACTTTATCTGTGAATGATAGAAGAGGCTTTCTAGAAAAAGATAAACTGGCAGCTGGTCATTACAAGGGGAAGGTTAGGGCACTTCAGTGTCAAAAGTAATATAATTAACATTATTATTGGTATATTATTTGTTTTTAATTAAGATTTATCCATATTGTCACATGTATGAGTACTTATAGATGGGGTTTGGATAGGAAACTGGAAGAACATGATTATTAAACAGAAGTCCAGTAGTTCCATCACCTATTCACTTTTTCAAGGTGAGCGTTGTGGATCCATATTCAGTCTATTTCTTATGACTTGCTTGGCTTCTTTTACTTACATGTTAGTGAATAGTCTGACAATGTCAAAACTTAAGAAGTTTGTTTTCTTGTTGAAGGTTAATATCCTGTGTCAATTTTATGAAATATTCACAGTTATTAACGAAGGAGTCTGTATTGCCAGCTAGAGAACCGTGGATCTTACAGAGGAAATCTGCTAGGACATAAGAGGAAGAGTCAGTAGAGCTAACTATTGGCCTGAGTGGGATGTCAAGTTTGTGTATTTTGGGAAGTCCATGGATGTGAGGGTGTTTACTGTGGTAAACAGTCAGTTCAAGTTTCAAGACAAGGGGAAAGACAGTTGTGTGTTTTGTAAGAAGATTCTATTTCTTCCTTTCAATTTGAGACACAGGATCCTTACATAGAATTTCATAAACCCTCTGATTCTAGTAGACTGGATATCTTCTTGTAAATTTACTCTTTCAGCACTACCATACAGTTTCCTTTGTCAGCTTGTAGAATTCGTATTTGCTTGTTGTTTCTTAGGGATTTTAATGCCTTGGATTCCCTCCTTGTCATGTTAGATGTAAAGGTCTTGATTCCTTTAATATGCATCGAATCCTCCAACAGAACTCCATACCCAAGGAGGGGGGAAGTTTGGACTTGGCACTTTCTGCCACACATGCCATGTCCAGATTACACACTCTGCTTGTTATTACAAAATTAAGCACATATTCTTCCGTTTCCATGAGGACGTGCTCTGATAAATTGAGGACAAATTTATCAGACCCCTGAATGGCTTTCGGGGTCTAGGTGATCTTTCAGAGCTAAGAATTTTCGAATCTGAATCTTCGTCTGCTGAAGAAAATGATGTTTGAAGGAGCTTTCCACTGCTGCCAGGAGGTGGAGTTGATCTCATTGATTTGTCAATCTGCGGAAAAACTTTCCAGACCGTCGATTTGTTTGTTAAGTGTGGGACCCTTCTGAAATGGTAGAACTGGGTCCTATCTCTTTGCAGGGCCTTACTGAATCCTGAAGTTATCTTAGAAGAGTGATGGCTGTGCTATGGAACTTTCAATATGAGACCTATGCAAACAATATCTTGAGCCTTGCATTTCGTTTCATTTTTCTAAAATTGGGATATTTATATACCAAGTCCATTCTGGTTATGTAAATAAGATTCAAATTCTGTAACGATGGTACATATCCCAATTTTATAAAATTTAAACGACTCAGGATCCAGCTGCCTAAGACTCTCAACCATCTCACTTTCCTCATGAAATACAAGACTCATCTATGGTTGTGATCCCCAAGGGGCTTGGTGCCAGGACGAATTGATTTGTGGTTTAAAGCAACACTGACTCTGACTGGTTCCCGCTCTGTCTGTATGAGAGGGAGGAGGAAGAGCTCCGTTGCTCTACTCAATCAGAGCGCCTACACTGAAAGGCCGATATCTCTTCTCGTCGTTGCCTAGCAGCGACATGGGGGACACAAAGGCACAGACAGGAAGGAGATCACATAAACCTACTTTACGAAAATAGGTTAATCCATTGTTACATCACGAACCGCATAGGAAAAGACGCATCCAGGAATTCTTCCACTGTTGCTCGTGTACACGTTGCCGCGGGCACGTGTCTGCCGAGCCGTTGCCTAGCAACGATAGGGGATACACATACAAACAGACTGATGGAAAGGATTTGTGAATTGCACTGTTGAGATGCGCCTAGATGCCATGATATACATACAAAGTTTCATAAAGATGTTTTCAGGTAGTTACTATAGGATTCTGACGATGGTGTGTAATACACAGAGATACTGGGTTTTCGGACTTTATCTATCGTCCTGGTTTTTTAAGATAACTAAGAAAAACACGACGTTTCGGAAACTGGATCTGTTTCCGTCCTCAGGTGAGGGAAAACATCTATTCTGTTGGGTCCCTTAGAAAGACTGGACCAAACAATGTCGATGGCCGGAAAAACTGCAACTAAGTTCATCCCATTCACAACCCTGCTATCTCTAGGGGGCCTGCCACCATTTATCGGGTTTTTACCAAAATGAGCCGTTATCCAAACAATAATCATAAACAACTTAAGACCAATTATGGTTTCTTGATGGGGCGGTATGTGATTTTCGGGTTGGTCGTTAATTCGCATTATTTGGTTTTATAGATCTTGGTCTCTTGGATTTAGCAATGATTTTTAGTACTGGTTAAGTTTGTGCCAGCAGCCGCGGTTATACATTAAGTGCTATTGAATATTTTTGGTCGTGCAATGACTGAGGCTAGCTCTTTCTAAGGGACCCAACAGAATAGGTGTCTTCCCTCACCTGAGGACGGAAACAGATCCAGTTTCCGAAGCGTCGTGTTTTTCTTGGTTGTCTTAAAAAACCAGGACGATGGATAAAGTCCGAAAACCCAATATCTCTATATTTTCAGGTATTTAAAAGTTGATACTGAGGATCACACAGAAAGAAAGAGAGGAAGGAGATCGCATGGCCATACTTTAGGAAAGTAGGTTAAAACGGCTGTCGTGTTTTGATTGTTCCTGTTTGTTTACAGGCAAATTTACTCATGCTTCGAAAACTGGAAGTATCCGCATGCCTTTCTCTTTCCTCCCACCTGCGACGAGGCCCAAACTTTGCGCACACTAGGCCCCACCGTGGTTCGCAGACCATGTTAAGCTGTGGGTTCCTTCAGCCAGCTTCGTGACCCTAACACTGCGAAAGAACACAACACCAGTCTGCGGACTACCAGTTCCAGGTGGATGATGGACATGATAGAGAGCCATTTCGCAAACATTTCCAGAGCAATCATATTGTTTATTTTGAAAGCCACAGTGCTTTAGGTCGTGACACAAGTTCGTTAATGTCTCTGTGGTTTCATGCTGTAACGGATTTGATCAACGTGTTGCAAGGCAACAGCTCTGTAAACACGGTCCAACACGAAACATTAGAGGAGGCCGTGTTTTCGATATTCGCCGTGAGACCACGTAGCGCGCGGGTGGTGGTTACGTGACATGTGTTTCCTGTTAAGTGTGTCCGTTCCTCGGCTATATAAGTGACAGAATTCGTTCGGTTCAGGGACGAGTCAGTTCTCGGTAGGAGATAGCCACGGGAAGTGCGTAGTTGAAGAAGAGTACAAGAAGATACTAAAGGGTTCTGACGATAGTGGATGACAGAATTACTGGGGTTTTGGACTTTTTCATTGTCCAGAATTTAGGTAATAGAGGACACGACGTTTCGGAAACTGGATCTGTTCCGTCTTCAGGTGAGAAATGAAGACACTTACTCAGTTGGGCCCTTAGAAAGAGCTGATTGAGATTATCTCTTTCTAAGGGGCCCAACTTCCTTTCTCACCTGAGTACGGAAACAGATTCAGTTTCCGAAACGTCGTGTCCTCTATTACCTAAAATTCCGGACGATGAGAAAGTCCAAAACAAGAGTACAAGAAGTCAGCCTGTGAAGATTTAACGTGTGGTTAGAAGACTTTATGTGTGCTGTTGTACAGTGATATTCGGAGTGTGTGATTTAGTGAGACTTTTATACTGTAGTTCCTGTGTTATAAATCCGTGAGGGCTAGAGACAGATAGACTACGAAGATTAGCGTTGAGTGATTGTAAATTGTGTAAATCCGCAATAATTTTCTAATTATTTGTAGTTACGAACTGTAAGTATGCAATGTAACCAATTATCAATCCAAACCCTCGTCTTGGTCACTGTGACGTGTGACAATGCTTGGTATTTTATATCAAGTATATTCGGGGCATTAAGTACGTCCAGTTTTCCTCACTATTTTTGGTACTGATTCTCGAACCAGTTAGCAGCCACTGATTAAAAAATGTTACATTCCATTACTTGTGTTCGGTTTCAGTGTTTTTACAGGTGTCCCAATCCCGTAGGAGGTCTTCATTGTTTACACTTCAGAAAGGGCCCTTCACGAGCTGCGGCTCTGCTTCTGTAAGAGAAGAAGTTTGCTTACCCAGCACGGGTATTGATAACGTTCATGTGATTGAAATTTTGATTGCGGAAATTATGTTGCACAAACATCTATGACCTAAATCCATCTAACATTTATGCAGTGTATTTTTTTTTTTTTTAAATTGCAGTGTTCACAACCATATTCACATTGAAGCTGATGTCTTTTTTAATTCTCCACTCCATAATGTTGGGTCATCATGTCTAGTTAGTAATAAGTTTCTTGTGTTTCATCTAAAGTCGCATATTTTTTGTCTCGCAAACATCTGTAAAAGTTAGATCTTGAAAAAAAAATATCACAATTCCAGTAATGAGAGAATGGCGAAGTATTTCATTGAAATAAGCAGTTTTACCATTTTTGATTTCAAAATTTGTATCTCTTATTGCGCTTCAGATATTACAGGAAGAATATGTATTGAAAAATATTTAACAGTAGGAACATGGGATCTGCATACATTTCAAGAACTAGTCTTGCTAGTAAGTCATGCACCTTACTCAGATCTGTACATTCAATACCAAATAGACCTTCATGGCGTAGTGCTTCATTAGTTAAGCACAGGGACAACTTTACCTTACTTTCCTCTTCATATTGAGAATATATAGGAGAAAAAATATTATTGCTTTCAATCAGTTCGCGTACTGACATTCCTCTGAAAAAAAAATTGTTATTTCTTATCAAATTGCTTACAGATATCAATTTGTTATCTTGCATCAGCATCGTCTATATCACTTTCACCCCACACCCCGCCCAAGACATCTTTCGTCTTCCCACACTTGTGGGGGGGGGGGGCACGCTCCGAGTAGGAAAGAAATAATAGATTTAAAAGGAGCCACTCTCTCGTTCTTACTTTTCACTTTAAAAACGGGGAAGTTTTGTAGGTAGAAGGGGAATAATCTGGAGTGTGACACTGCGCTACGTGTAGCCGAAGTAACCAGATGTCCGGGCGGGGATTGGCTAGTTCTGGTTCCCAGATTCCAAAAGTACACGAGTTCATTTTCAATTTGGTATGGAAAATTATTTTGGAAACTACCTTTATTTAAAGGGCACGCGGTAGCGTAATTGGTTGAGGCACTATGTTACAAGCCGGAAGGTCGCGGGATCGAATCCCGATAAGGTGGATTACCGTAAAGCCGTGTCTCACGGTGTTGTCACTTGCAGATTTACTTATACTTTTTCTTCAACCCTGAAGATGGGGGCGATACGTTCCTCCGAAACGTCGGTTAACACCACATATACACGGTGCCAAATCCCAGAAGACTGCTTTCTTCATAGTCACCGCCGTGAAAGCCTCAAATCTTACAATGCTTATACATATTTCGTTCTTCTAGGATATCACACCCTGCAGGGTCATAGATATGTACCAAATTCATGATGGCCTACTCTTTAAATGGAAGCAGTATATTCCTCCGAAACATTTGTACATACTTACCAGGTTACACAGTGTAACGATGAAGTTTACAGTATGAATCTTCATCTCGCAAGAATCTCAAATCTCATTCCTTATATTTCAGTCTGTAACTTAAAAAAGAGAATATGTCCACTTTAACCGATATGGATACTTTACCGTTTCCAACACGCCAATTTGCTTCTTCGTACAGATTATGGTATTTATGTATTTTTGCATCGCAACATTCCACGAAACAGTGTTCTTATTTTTCCTTTGTGAAGAAAAGATATCCTCCTAATCTTGCAAAGCTGTACTTCTTTTCAAAATAAATGTATTGTCACGTACATTAGTGACTATGGACGGGGTTCGGATTGGTAGTTAGATTTATTGATCCATTACAGGTCGTAAATGTACAAATAACTGTAACACTCTTACAGCAAATCGCTCCACACTAAATCTTCTTAGAGAGGTTTCACTAGTTTTCATTATCCCTTTCCTGGTAACGGGTTTATCACAGTCTCACTGTACTAGTACTACAGTATATGTAAAGTCACTCACTGAGTCCTCTTGGCACAGTCTAATTCTTTGCTATCACCTTCGGCTGCCGACCCCTTGAATTCTGATCAAAGACTACTCTTCTCCGACGAACTACTATGCAGCCGACCTGGGTTTCATGTGGTATAAAGTCTGGACGGGCCAACAGGGAAAACATGTTCTAACCTAGAATCCACTAAGTGTTTATTGTGCAGTGACGGTTGTTTGCAAGAATTTTATCTCCGCGGAAACGTGTTTGCCGATCCGTTCCCTAGCAATGGATATATGCATCACAATATGCTCAGCCACATCCAGACTGAACAGGAATAAGATTTCATGAACTCATTCCCTTCTTAATTTAGTTAGAAATATTATTCTTGTATTTTTTAACTTAAAATATTTTTAAGATCACTGTTGTCTTATGTATGACGATATATAATTTTATAAGTGCGTATTTACCCACCAAACTACACAGCATATCTCAAAAGACCATAATCTTAACATTCGCCCACAGATTAGGAAATTAAAGAGAGAAAGGTGTCCACTAGTTTGGGGGGATAGTGCTTAATAGGTACAACTTTATTTTAGTACTTGTACTGGTGGTAGTGGTAGCAACAGAAGCAGTGCAGTAATTGTGCTGAGAGTAGCGGAAGCAACAGAAGTAGTGCAGCAGTTGTGCTGAGAATAGCGGTAGCAACAGATGTAGTGCAGTAGTGCTGAGAGTAGCGGCAGCAATAGGAGTAGTGCAGTAATTGTGCTGACAGTAGGGGTAGAAATAGATGTAGTGCAGCAGTTTTGCTGAGAGTAGCGGTAGCAACAGAGGTAATGCAGTAGTTGTGCCGAGAGTAGCGGTAGCAATAGATGTAGTGCAATAGTTGTGTTGACAATAGGCGTAGCAACAGAAGTAGTGCAGTAGTTTTGCTGTGAGTAGCGGTAGCAACAGAAGTAGTGCCGTAGTTGTGCTGAGAGTAGCGGTAGCAACAGATGTAGTGCAGTAGTGCTGAGAGTAGCGGCAGCAATAGGAGTAGTGCAGTAATTGTGCTGACAGTAGGGGTAGCAATAGACGTAGTGCAGTAATTGTGCTGACAGTAGGGGTAGAAATAGAAGTAGTGCAGTAGTTGTGCTGAGAGTAGCGGTAGCAACAAAGGTAGTGCAGCAGTTGTGCTGAGAGTAGCGGTAGCAATAGATGTTGTGCAGTTGTGCTGACAGTAGGCGTAGTAACATAAGTAGTGCAGCAAATGTACTGAGAGTAGCGGTAACAACAGAAGTAGTGCAGTAATTGTGCTGACAGAAGGGGTAGCAACAGAAGTGGTGAAGTAGTTGTGCTGATAGTAGCGACAGCAACATAAATATTGCAATAGGAATACAACAAACATAGAAGAACGGAACCAGTGAGTGGACATGGATGTGAAGAATTCTCGCAAAAACCTGATATCGTGTGCATACAGACCTACGTAGTGTATCGAAATGCAGCACAGTAAACTCACTTCTGTATTCGCCCCCTTCAGAATTTCAAATCCAGATTGAAACATTTTGAAATTATTCTTCACCAACTGCGATATTACAGAATAAATACATGAATAACTATAACTCTGCCTGTTTGGGTGTGAAACTTGGTCTCTGACATGAATGGAAGAACATGGGCTTAACATGTTTGGGAACAAGGTGCCGAGAAGAATATTTGGATCAAAGGGAGATGGAATAATAGGAGGCTGGAGAAAACTGTATAGTGAGGAGCTTCATAACTTCTACCCCTCGCCAAACAAAGCTGTAACGACCAGACAGGATTTAACAGTTCAGGCATGTAGAACGCATGGGGAAGAAGACGAATGCATACAGGTATTTGGTGGGGACGCCAGAATGAGAGACCAGTAGAATCGTAAGAGAAATGGGATGAGGTGATATGACATGATTAATCGGTCTAAGGATAGCGACTAGTGAAAGGCCCTTGCAAATACGGTAATAAGACTTCGGGTTCCATAAAACATTTGGGAATTTTTCAATAGCTGGGCGACTGGCGGCTTCTCAAGAACACAGCTCCATTGAGTTAGTAATTACTAAATCCAACAGAATGAATAATTTAAAGGCTATCTAATTTTTTACATATGTTTAACATCCTGCTTTAATCTTACGTATTATAGAAGCATGACAGTTCAGTTTGACTGTTTATATATTTTAAATGGTATGACAGTGACGCAAGTCCGTATAGGTAAACATTTGTCTGATAAATTTCCTATCCAGAATGGTCTAAGAGAAGGGGATGCTTTATCGCCACTCCTTTTCAACTTTGCTTTAGACTATGCCATTAGGAAGATCGAGGAAAACCAGGTGGGACTGAAATTAGACGCGACACATCAGCTGTTGGCCTATGCCGATGATGTGAATCTACTGGGTAATAATATTAATACCATAAAGAAAAACACACAAACTTTAATTGACTCAAATAAGGAGGTTGGTCTAGAAGTAAACACATATTTGGGAACAACGATCACAAATCAAAACCTGATTCAGGAGGAAATTACGAGGACATTGAACTCGGGTAATGCTTACCACCACTCAGTCCACAACTTTTTGTCTTCTTGTATGCTGTCCAAAAACATATAAATTAGAATATACAAAACTATAATTTTGCCTGAGGTTCTGTATGGGTGTGAAACTTGGTCTCTGACATTAAGGGAGAAACACAGACTGAGGGTGTCTGAGAACAGGGTGTTGAGAAGATATTTGGACCGAAGAGAGATGAAGTGACAGGAGGTTGGAGAAAACTGCATAATGAGGAGCTTCATAACTTGTACTATTCTCAAAGTATAATTAGAATGATCAAGTCAAGGATGATGAGGTGGGCAGGGCATGTAGCACGAATGGGGGAGACGAATGTGTATAGGATATTGATGGGAAAGCCAGAAGGAAAGAGACCAATGGGAAGACCAAGGCGTAGGTGAGTGGACAACATTAAAATGGATCTTAGAGAGATGGGATGGTATGGATTGGACTGATGTGTCTCAGGATAGGAACCAGTGGAGGGCTCTTGTGAACATGGTAATGAATCTTCGGGTTCAATAAAATGCTGGGGAATTCTTTAGTAGCTGCAGATTTGGCTTTTCCTCAAGAGGGGCTGAGCTCCCTAAATTACTAAGTAATGACAGTGATGGGAAAACAAAACACTCAAAACCTTACGTGACTCTTCTGATTGGCAGAAGACCAGGGAAAGCTGTTTATGTTGTACGCCGTATTATGCCTCAGGGCAGTTGTACTGACTTCTGCAGCTTCGTGTGTAATAGGAGCACAACACAGGGTCAATTCAGAAATTGAACATACAGGTATGAAACAAATAAGTTTATTTTTGACCGTGTATATAACATGTATATGAATTTTAAGAAATACTCCTGTATGGTCTGTGAACTCTGCAGAGTGTATAGAAGGGGTTTCTTGTGCTATCACGATGATATAATCATACTTTACTTTTATAACTGTAATTTTTATAACATAAGGGAGTATAATTTCAACTTGTTAATATTTTACCATGTGAAAACTTCTAGAAACTGCACTAAAAGATTAATATATATTGTACTCCTGATACTTCTTTTGGCTTATTTTGGACTTCACCCATCGTCTGGTATGTAAAAGACAAAAGACCACGACGTTTCGGAGACTGGATCTGTCTCCGTCTTCAGGTGGATAGGGAAAGATAAACCTACTCAGTTGGAGTGATTGAGACTAGCTCTTTCTAGCGGGCCCAACTGAGTAGGTTTATCCTTCCCTATCCACCTGAAGACGGAGACAGATCCAGTCTCCGAAACGTCGTGGTCTTTTGTCTTTTACATACCAGACGATGAGCGAAATCCAAAATAAGTACAGTATACACCATCATCAGAATCCTTTCAAGTCTATCTGTACTCCTGATGTTGGCATTTTGTGGGTCGAAATATTTTGATACGTTGGAAATACTTAACTAGGTAATATTTATTAAATGTAGTAGGCCTATTTTAGGCTATATTTAATGCCTTCCTGTTTCGGAAACCAGAGTGGTAATATTTTATTCCTTTTTCTTTTTTTAATGTGTTTCGTTCTGAACAGACAAGTACACAAGGTATATCTCTGGTGCGGAGCAATATCGCGCTGGTAGGGCGGAAGTAGCGGCAATTGGTACAAAGTTCTTCAGTTTTATGTGTAGTGTGTAATACTGTGAGGCTCAGGGTTTGATCATGTCCGGGTCGAATGCTTCTAGAAGTAACTTTTTATACAGTTCTAAATCAACCCTTTCGATGATGGTTACGTTTGGTTTGAATCCTAATTTCTCTAAGTGGTCTACTACCATGGCGCCTCTGGTGTTGTGACCATGTAGCTCTACCGACACATACACCTCTTTCATCTTAGTTGCGACCTCAGGTACCAACAAGATGGCTGCCGCCAACGGATCACACCGACTCCACACCCCATACATCTCTCTGTCCAGCATCAACTTCTCAACCTTGTTCATCAGCTGAGCCTGTGGACTCTCAACGGCGCCCAGAACGTTCTTCCGCCACTCCTGCAACAGAGTATTATCGTTAGTCTGCGTGTTAATAATGTGGACAGGTTCCCAGATCCAAACCCGAATTCTTTTAACGGGACTTACGTACTTGACGAGTACTGTCGTTTGCGGTGTAATGCCGTATAGTCCGGTAGAACTTTACCGACGTTTCGAAAGAACATACGGCCTCAATCTTCGGGATTCGCCTGATTCTTGCTGGCTATTTGTTTGGTTCCGTATTTGACCCTGAAGATGTAGGCAGTGTGTTCCTCACAAAGGTCCGTGCGTTACGTCTTCTTAGTCAGCGTTGTGACAACCTCAAATACAGTGTATTTGTCATTTATTTATAGACGAAAGCTGGAATATTGGTTAAGCTATGGTCTGGACCATCGAGTAATTGAGGTTCGATTTCAGGCATACGAAAAAAGATTTTAATTTTTCTCTTCTCCCTGAAGTCCCGACCAATCATCCTATATTGTACAGACATTACGAATGCGTGGAAGTATACCTCTATTCCTCCATATATCATTATAACGTGTTGCTTAATTAATCACAGGCAGAGCTCTATAATTTTCACATTTTTATTTACCGGGATGTTAACAGTTCAATACGTGCGTATAGCGTCGGATGATTCGACTACTGAAAAATGAACTGGAAGGGATGTGGAAGGAAACTGTCGTAGCCTAATATGAGGTAATATCCAGACAGTTGCCTCGAGTGACTGACGTAAACCCCGAAATTCTGTTAAGACAGCGATTCTCTGAATCAAGAATTGAACCGGAGACATCCCGAGTAAGAAACAAGGCCCTAACCATTAAACTCCTATGTTTCTGTCCCGAAACAAGAATGGAAAGCAATATTAATGCCTTTGTTCTACAGTTCAGCGCTTTCCTTGCGCTTTCCCTTTCACATTAATCATATGCTAACTTATTGCAGTTAAACAGGCCTATGTAACGTAATCCGACGTACTACGAGTGCAAGGCAAAATGTATCTGCAATGTATACACTGTCAAGATTTAGGCGTGACTAGAGGCGGGTTTTGGATTACTGACTGTATCTACTGAAACCTTATACACAGTACTCGGGACTACAGGCAGTTACAGCTACCGTTATTCCCATACTTAACAGTTCACCGTTGTACACGCAATAGGGTTCTCAGCCTTTACTAGTCGTATCCTGGCAACGTATTTACAACAATCTGTCACTTCAAATCACACATTAAGTCTCCTTTTCACAGCCTAATCCCATTCTTGTCGTTATTCTGCAACTGCTTATTCCGAAGACTGGACTAAATTCAGTTCCCAAGGTTATATCCTGTAAGGCTGGCGTCTCGAAACTCGACTCAGTTCTTCTCAATTGAACTCTTCTTTATAACTACTTTGCATGGACCACGCAGAAAACACAGCCTCTCTATTGTTGAGAAGGCGTGTTTACAGCGCCGTTGCATAGCAACGGAAGTTACTCGATTGTTAGGCCGCTGGCTTTACACCGCGGCGGCCCGGGTTCGATCCCGGACCTCGTCAAGTGGGATTTGTGGTGGACAAAGTGGCGCTGGGGCAGGTTTTCTCCGAGTACTTCGGTTTCCCCTGCCAATCTTCATTCCACCAATTTCTCCACGATCACCCTCACCTATCATCTGGGGCTGGTACAATAGGCCAGAAGTGGCCGCAGTACAAGGAACTTAGTCCCACCCCACTAGCAATAAAAAGATACTCGATTATTGAGTATTCGTAGCCGCGGGAATGTGTTGACCGAGTTGCCTACCAATGAACGTCTATTATTACTTCACTATTCCGGCTTTCGAGTGGCATATCACAATACTAAAATTAACACAACAGCAGTACATAACTCGGAAGTGTATCCTTTTTCAACAGAGTCCCGTGCTTTTCATTGCACTTTCCAGCGCTCCACATGCCTCTACCACTAGAGGAAAATATTTTCGATCGGGGGGTAAGCCATATGTGCATCGCCTCCTTCAATTCGTAGTCGCAAGCGAAATGACAGCCTTTTGAAGCAAATTTCCGATGAATGTGGGCTTGAGCAAGACCTCGGACCGCAGTTAGAGTTCGCAGCAGTACGAGCCCGGCCATTGTTATGCAACGGCACAATATATTCGAGCTGTATATACAGTCTCCGCGTCTACACAACAGTGACTTGATAAGAGAATGAAACAGAAAATTGTCGGAATTCATTTATTGTGATCAATACTATACCAGCACAAGTTTCGATCTTACTATATCATCGCTGGTCGAAATAAACAAATGATTACAGAGTCATTGAATTTCAAGTTATGTTAAAACGAATTTCAGTCAATATGGATCAATTTTTCACATCGAGATACATACGCGCTATATTAAAATGTCAAAACACTTTAAAATTGAGGACGAGGTTATGTACGGTTTAGTGTACAGGTATACAATATTGGTGTACTGTGTTGGGTGTGTTGTGTGCGTTGTGCATGTTTTTCTATTTGTTTTAATCAGGAATGTATTGTTGACTGGAGTCGGTGTGCCGAGTGAAAAGGGGGGGGGGTTGTGGATTGGTTACTTGTTGTAATTGTTCTTTTTTCTGGTTTATATTGCGACGACACGTGTATGTCTCCAGTTTATGGAAGTAACTGGTTGTATTAGGAGTTTGGAGAAGCGGTCTCGTGTGTTTACGTATACGGTCTTTGAACATATAGTTATCGGCTATCTTATGAGGTTTATGTACTTAGATATGTGCCTATATCCAAGTTGTTTTAAATCTCTTACTTTGTAGGGAATGTGTGAATGGCCTTGAGTGCTGTATAAACTTCGGCTTTAAGTCTACGTGGTCGGTTTTTGGCATGGCTAAGTTGTGGTTGCTTGTAGTGCCTCATAACCAGGACGCGGATTTTGATGACATGTCATCTTTTTTTCCTTGTATCTTATGCGATGCTCTTGAATATATAAATTTCGGATATGAGCTGCTGGTTACAGAATGTAAATTTTATAGGTAATTTTTGTCATTTTTTATATTTTTTCATTTTTTGGTAAATTTTTGGACTTCTAAGGGTATTTCTTGTAATTTTATACCATTTTTGGCCATTTTAGGGAATTTTTCTTCATATGTTTTCTGAAATTTGAATAACATGGAAGCGAGGTGTTCTTTCTTTTCTCCTTTCGGTCATTTTCTGGATTTTTTCGGTCATTTTATGTCATTTTTTAATATTTTCAGGTCATCAAAATCCGGGCCCTGCATATTACATTTTTTGATCATATTTTAGGTAATTTTTCTGGATTTTTTCCATCATTTTATAGGTCATTTTTTAAATATTTTCAGGTCATGAAAATCCGGGCCCTGCTGATAACACTGCAGTGGAGCAGTATTCCCTCTAAGCTTCGCGCGCAACGGCTGTCGCACTCCCGCGCTCTTTTATTGACTTAATAAAAATAAGATTGAAAATAAAACTACATTTTTTTATATATTTTTGGGAGCTTATAAATTTAATGTCTGGGAATTCTTGAGTAGATGCACATTTGGCTTCTCTCAAGAAGGGCTCAGCTCCATAAGTAAGTTATGGGCACCCGGGGTGCTCAAGTCAATCCAACTGCTTCTCAGAAGCTACCATGGCTTGCTCACTTGCCTACAGGGAACGTTGGTTGGGAGTTTACGTTCCAAAATCTCACTTTTCCTCCCTGAATTGTTACGGTGGTCATGTTTTGTTATAAAGGCCGGTGCGTCTTAAGAATTCGTCACCTTTCTCGTGATACTTGTTCGAAAGAAGTTTATAATATGCAAATTGTTACGTATGTCCTGTTTCATGAACTGTTTTAGAATCCATCTTGCACAGATTTTAAGAAGTGAAGTCTGTGACGGAGGATGAACCCTGACTAACGTACAAATTGCTTCCTACTTAACCGAGAGTAACCCGCCTGGTGTCGAGAACAGGTACACGAACTTAATCGCTGTTCTTGTCAGTTGCTTATATTACACTCAACCTAAGTTGTGTGGTTAACAAACTCAGTCTGCATGTGTATGTACAGTTACACTGTATTCATATACAGACTACTTTGGTTTTGAAGATTACTGTATTCTGGGATTTGAAATCGTGTAGTCCGGTTGGAAAGTATCAACTTTTCGAATGAACATACTGCCTCAATCTTCAAGGTGTACTACTTTATTTCAGCGCCAGGGACTCCATGATAGTAGATAATTTTCGGAAATTAGGATTCAAATTATATGTATCCATCATGAAATGGTTGATTAATAAGTGTACAGATGTTTCTGTTACAAGAATTTGCCCCAAATACAATAAAATTATGATCCTTGCTGCCCGTTAAACTACAGACAAAATTGCAGAAACGGTTACCAATGCCAGTTACTCCACACTTCTCCCTCAGGACTACCATGAAGATGGAGGCATCAGGTTAATCCGAAACGTTGGTACCTTTCAACCAGAGTCTACGACGTCACATCCCAGGAAAAAGTAATCGTTATATTCACAGCCGTTAAGAACCTCAAATCTCAAAAATACCGTGCTTTTGTATTTCTGTTGAAAACATTTTCGAATAGTTATTTATCTTAGCGTAATCGAAACTGTATTCAATATTTATTGTTTGTACAGTGCTCGTTACTATATTTCGATATTACATTGATGTAAGATACGCGATAACTCGTGGCCAAAATGAAATCCGAACGGCTTTCTTTGTAGATCCCACATACGAACTGAAATCCTTTGACCAATTTTGAAGACGAAAAGTGGAAACAGACATGCCATGCCATCATTCGTTTCCTCTGCAAAAATATCTCATAGAAACGAAGGACGTTGTATGTGAATGTATACATCCATGAATTCAGAATTAGTTGGAGGTGAGTGGTCAGCTTCACACCCCGGCCGCTTCATCCCCGAGGAACGAGCTCACGGTACCTTTTAGAAAGGAGGCTGGGTGTGCCCCACAGCCGGTCTGGACGACATGAGTAAGGCAAAATTCTTGATTTTACTGGGACTCGAACTCCGGCCCCTCGGTCGTTCAGCCCCCCTAGACAGTCTCCATCCTGAGGCCGCCCACATTACGATTATTATTATTATTACAATTATTATTATGGTTCTACAGTCCTTTGTTGGGCCTTCGAGACTTTTTTCACTTTCTTGATCCTACACAGTCTGTAGGACTCCTTGGACGGGGGATCAGCCCGTCACAAGACCTCTACCTACACACAGGACAACACAAACAGAATAAACGTACACAGTACAAACATCCATGCCTTGAGTGGGCTTGGAACTCATGATCCCAGTGTTCGAGCGAGCGAAGACAGTTCATGCCTTAGATCGCGCGCCACTGTGATCAGCGCCAAAATTACGTACAACTGCATAACAATAACTGTTATATATAATACATTATCGAATATTATGGCGATAAAATCAAGAAGCATCATTTGATTATGTAACAGTAGATATATGAATTAAAAAATATATTGGTTAGAATGTATGAAAATAAGAAATATCTTGGATAACTGAGGAGTTTATAGGAGGTTAATATTAAAGTATACCTTAAACAACTTTGGGAGGGGAGGGTGGCGATGTGGATTGCATTAATACGGCATCAGACGGGATTAACTGGCAGGATCTTATGAGAACTTTGGGGTTACATGTGTATATAAAGGGGGGGATTTCATGACCATGTCTTCTATTGTCAGTTTCTCAAGGAAGAAATTCACTGAGAAGAATGGCGTCTTCTGGGATGTGGCACCGTGTAGATCTTGGGTGAACTGACGTTTCGGAGGAACGTATCGCCTCCGTCTTCAGGGTTGAAAAATCCGCGAGCGAGGAGCCACCATGAACAGATTGCTGCAGACCTCTGCAGCTATACGTTCCTCCGAAACGTCGGTTCACACAAGATCTATACGCCGCCACATCCCAGAAGACGACATTCTTCATAGTCACCGCCGTGAAAACCTCAAACCTTACAAAGAAGTTCACTGCTCCTGGAGCTAGTTAATACTTGTTACCATGATGACTCTTATGTAGAATACTGTCACGTGTTGGGTGTATGTAACGCGACAAATAACTTCACGCCGTTTTGGATCTTAGAGAATTTATTGAACACTCGCTCTTACACAATTTACAGTTTCACAACTACTGCCATCTGCAGTATCATAATTACTTCTCCTGCTGGAGTCACTTCCATTCACTCGATACAACTCAACTCGTAGCTGCTGGACTTCAACTCATACTGAATACTGCTCTTAACACTCTCTCTCTGGTTTCTGGCTCTCTCTCTCTCTTTCTCTAGTGCCGATAAAAAGATGAATATGCCTTCAAATCTGGAAACTCTTTTAGGAGCCGAGCTCTCAGACTGATCTTTTTCTTTCCCCTTGCATGGGGCTCACTGTGGACTGCTTTGTGTGGAGTTCCTATTCTTTCTCGCCAGATCTTCATTTTCAATCCTTTTAACGCCAGTGCAGATCTCCAGATGAATCTGCACTCAGCAATAGTGCGAGGATGATAATGTTCATGGTGAGGTGCCCCAGGCTTGCCAATCATTCCTGTACTACCAGAAGGTACAGTTCCATGCTTGCTGCGTCTTGCTAGAATGCTCATATTGATGTGATGTCCATCCCTAGACTGCTGTGACAATCCTGAGCCTCTCTGGTATGCATGGTATCTGTCACAGTTTCCTTGCCTTGGATGAAAGATATCACCACTGCCTGCAGCAGCTTCAGTTCCATCCTGACTCCCAGCTGGTCCCTGAATTTTATGAGATTCCATATACTTGAAACCATATTTAAATTCTTTATAATTTTCAGTTTGTTTCTGTACTGCTTCCTTCAATTCTTCCATCCCCATGTTTTCTTTCAGATTGTACCGTTGCTCAGTGAATGATGAGTGCCAAACAGTGATTTGTTGGTAAGCAACCACGTGAATCGTTTGATGTGAAACAAGGCCTGGAGGCGTATTCTTGCGACGCCACCTTATTTCTCTTCCATGTAACTATAACACAAATGTTCAACAAGTCGTTTCACAGTCGGTCCTTTCGTGTTAACTACTCATTAGAATGTCGAACTGTCCGTGCTGACTAACCACTGGCTTCTACTGGCGCTCACGCTTTCTGGATTCACAACACACACTGCACAGTTGGCTTCTTATATTGTTCTGTTACCATAGCAGCGGCAGCACCGTCTGCTGTTACGTTACAGCGGTCGGGGAGGGGGTGTTTACTGGACTGTTACCATAGCAGCGATAGCGGCAGCGGCTCCTATGCTGTTACGTCACCGCGGCAATTATTGCTTAACACAGCTTCTCTGCTGTTACGTCACCACTGGCAACGCGTGTTACCGCGTCGTGTGGAGTCCACGATCCTCAACATCCTCCCCACCCTGACAATCCAAAGGACTGGATACTGGATAATAATAGTACTTGTAAGTGTGTAAAAGTGTGGGTTCAATAAATAATCGCTGAATCCGAAACTACGGGAAATTATTCATCGCGTTATCTGGCAGACAGAAGTAGGTTACCAGGTAACACGCGACAATACTTACATATGAAATTCTGCCGTATTTATATGCCGCCTCCCAAGGGAATATTGTAATTTGGCATTTCATGTTATGTATTGTTACATAGGCCGCCTCGGGATCACACCAGAAGTTGAACTCCGCTGCAGCTGTCACATTTCCTATGCCTAAAAAAATGCAAAATGTAATTACTGTCGTTTCCTATATGCAGTGTAATTTGTTACATGTGTCCCTTACGTTTCGGAGGAACATATATCCACCTTTTGGGTTGAACATTCATTGTTTTACCCTAAAGACGGAGGCAGCATATTCCACCGAAGTTTCAGGAAACAGCCACCAGATTACACGTCATCAAATCCCGGAAGATAGTACTGTGCATAATCGCCGCCATCAGAACCGCATCGCACGGCTGCATTCATCAACCGCGGAAGGATATACACTACATGTCACTACAACACTTCTTCAAATTCAGAATCTATCTGTCCATGGGTCTACAGAGCTTCGTTGGACCTTGGCCGCTTTTTCAATTTCTTAATCAGTCGGTAGGACTCCTTCGACGGGGGATCAGTCTCTCGCAAGGCCGCTACTTACACAGAACACAGACAGAGAATAAATGCACACATACATCAATGACTTGAGTCGGTTCGAACCCACGATCCCAGCGTTTGTGCGGGCGAAGAGAGTTCATGCCTTACACCGCGCGGCCCTCTGTGATCGGCTTCCAATTCAGAATGTTGTTCGTTAATTCGACTATGCTGTATCAATTCCATCGTCCAGGGAGAAATTATAAGCCGATCGTGAATGAAGAATTGGAAAGGGCGTACCTATGCTCGGGAACTGCAAGACAGCGTCTACACGAGCGCACAAAATGCGTCCGTTGTAATGAATGTACTTTGCTGGGGACGTTGCTGAGGACACCACACAGCTGCAGAATGCGGTGAGTTATTTTTTGTCTGCAATGGAGCTCGAAGAAAGGGTAGCATTCGCCTCTCTTGTTTATTTCTACAACGGACGTCACGACGTTCGTAACAACAGACGCATTTTGTGCGTTCGTGTAGACGCTGCCTTAGAAGTCAGCCACAAGAGTCGATCCCGGCATCTCCTCGTCTAAACACAGCGCAGTGAAGCGTCTTTCAAGGAAAGGGTAGCCAAAATTCCGAGGTTTCTGTAGTTGGAACTACGCGAAGTGGTCAGCTTCACGCTCCTGTCGCTTTATTTCGGTGAACATTTCCGTATAGGGCAAATAGTAACTACTACTGTTATATACTCGTTCCTCTCAGCATGAAATTCCCACCTAGCGGATTGGCATAACGGTAACGCTCTACTCTCATTCGGGACGTACTGGGTTCAAATCTCACCAGGACAACGTTTCCGACACTCTCTCCAAGCAGTTGTTAAGCCCTGATTAGACTGCAATCGCTTCCTTCCGAATCCCAATTTATCATCCACCAGTAACCTACCATTCGGCGCTATATAGGCTAGATGCTGAGAGCTTCGAGGAGCCGGGATAGCTTTGTCAGTACTCCGGCTAGGCTATGGACTGGAAGACCGAGCAGTCGAGATTCAATTGCCGGTGGGGACAAGAAATGTTCTCTTACCCATAACGTCCGGATTGTCTCTGTGGCCCACCCAGCCACCTGTAGAGTGGGCATCAAGGGCTTTTTCCTCCATGAGGTAAAGCGGCCAGGACCTGAAGCTGACCACACACCTCCACCTTAAGGCAGATGTCAAGAACTGTGGAGCTATACCTTCATTCCTCCATACGTCTTCATATAATGGTGCTTAATTAATAAAACGTAGGAGTAAATTTACTTGTACCTTTACACACTGCTTCGTAATGCCACCCACAGAATTCTAACAGAGCTTAAAGGCCCATTTCCTTCAGACGGTTATTTGATGACGCCTTCGGTAGTGAGAACACATAGCGTCGATCTCTTCTTTTTAATTTGTGTATATTCATCTGTTCAGTTCCTTCAAAGTTACAATACAGCATTGCAGACCTCTTCCGAGAAGAATATTTTCACTCCTCTGAATTTATTAGTTTAAAATATGCAGCTGATTATACAGTGCGGTCATCTGAGCTACTCGAAGGTCTTCCGATTGCTGAGGCAGGAGAGACAAAAGCTCCTCTCGTCAGTTTGGGGCTGAATGTTAAAGGCCTCGACAAACGAAGGGCTCAAACATTACAACCTTCCTTCACAGACCTCAGTAAACTGCTGAACAGGTCTCGTGAGATTATACTGTGACCTATTCGGGATTAGCGTGACTAATAGTAATGGGTTATGGATTAGATGAATAAATTTATTTGACACTCACAGATGGTAACTACAAATAATTACAACATTCTAAAGATTATAATCTTTAGAATGTTGTAATTATTTGTTAACAATAATTATTGTTAACTGTAGCGCACAAAGTCTTCAGTGTCTGCTTGTTCGTCGTTGCTTGACAACGAATCTTATCTAGTTAATACTTCACAGTTGAATCCTCAACTACTGAACTGCCTGCTGAAGTCTCTTAGAATGAATCTCTTGAATTCACGAATGAACTCCTTTTTATAATTTCCACGCGGCCCGAATATAAGTCACCATGTCAAACGGTTTATCGTTTTATGTTATTCTGGTTATTGTCACGGGAATGTCTTTGTTAATATTCGTTGCCTTGGAAACAGGTGCTAGGGAACCGTTGCCTAGCAAAATAACTTCCGCTTCTGTTGCTGTTTCGGTTTTTAAGCAGTGTTTACCCAGCCGTTATTTCATCACAATACGTTACACGCCGGCCGATCCCATCCCAAGTCCTAACCACGGTAAACAAACATGGAGCCAGTTGCAAATACACGAAAACAAATGTGGTAGTTACTGGACAGAATTGAATCGAATGAAAACTCCGAATCCTCACTTAGGAGAATCTGGATGACATCATCTATAGGCTGGACATTCTCCTTGAAATCTTTCAGGTGCCTAGCACAGGAGACCGGGTTTACAAACCGTCAACATGCAATGCCGAGTCACTCGGCCTGCACATTACGTATAGGCTCGCTTCTCGGTAGCTGTTTAACGAATTACTGGGGCGATATTGAAGAGAAACTGTAATGTGTATGTATGTTCTCTTCGTTCGTCGAGTACACTACCAGCCAGCCCAATCTGACACAAGGCGCGCCTGGCTCTCTCGCCTGAGAGACCGAACGATTTTTCCATGGCTCTCCAGTATCTCATTGCATATCTACTTAGAATTAGGCGCCAGTATCTTAGTTTAATGAAATGGTAACATCGTAACATTCTGGGGAAAACACTGCATTAAAGAAAGGGTTTAAGAGGTAAATGAATTGTAAGTTAACTGTACAAAGTATGGAGCATTTAGTACGCACTGAAGACGTAAGACACATATACTGTACAATGTAGTCACAAGTACACATGAAGGAAGAGACCACTTCTCGGATACGGGTTTGCGTGGGATACAAGACAGATATTAGAAATATTGGATCTAAGGAGATCGAATGCTTTCAGCTGGCTGAGGACAGGAATAGTTGGCGGGTTCTCGCGATAAAAGTAAACATTCATTGGGATCCTTAAAAGGCGAAGGATTTATTGACTACCTTCTCTGGAAGGATTCTTCTCCCTGAAACTAAATAATGTTCATGTTTCTTTGGGGGAGTCCTGCGTAAATTTGCTATAGGGCAAAATAAATACACATAAAAGGAAACAGACAGAACATCTATATATAATGCAATAAGACCTTATAAAAATCCAATTGGACTTCCTGCACCCAAGGGAGAATGTAGGTAGAAAGCCTACAGACTGATGTACTATAAATGGAAGGGTCTTAGAAACCTCTTTTGACATTCACAGGCACAACCTCGGAACCACTAGGCTTCATTCGTCACCGTAATTTCTATAATAGTATAACTGCTCGTTTATTTCACACAAAGCCACAATTACCTTCTATATTTCCACCCATTATAAATATCTCTTTGACGTTTGTGCAGAAACTGGGATCCATTCTGATGGCTAGAGCGACGTTTGTTAGTGGACCGAGACACAGGAGGGTAACTGCACCTACAAAAGGACATAACACATAAGAGTCACTGGAAAGAGAACACAGAATGTGCACTCTGTTTTATAACGCAAGAGGATCACTAAATTTGTAAGAACAGAAATGTGCACCCCCTCTCGGATGACACAAAAGGGTCACTGGCAGGCTAGTGAAGAGGGTGAGGGCCAGTTGGGCGTAAATTGTAAAACGCTGTAAATACTTTTTACTGTATAATGTGAAATTTATTTTATAAATAGTAGAACATATGATTTTTTAAAGCATTAAAAAGGAAAAATCGTCCTTGTAACAGTCCGTGAAGGCCCATAGGGGTGTAAGAGGTCAAGGCTTCCACATTTTCTAGACAATCGGCTCACAGATGGTGGCAAGGTTGTCAGCCTTACGCGCCGGACCCCCTTTGCCCTCAGGAATCTTCCAGGTACTCATTTCTGTTAGAGGTTGAATCGAACCCAGGGCCATAGTGAGGCTGGTAGGATTAGGTCAATTCATAAAAATTCAATGACATCGGGACTCGAACCAGGGACCTTCCGGCTTCTAGTACAGTGCCTCAACCAACTACGCTTTCGAGTGCCCCGATTTGTTAGAGCGTTATTAAAATACACATATTCATGTACTTATATGGCTTTAGGAGTGGGGTGGGGATCCAAAAATTTCTGAGTGGCCCGGGTTCCAACTCACCTCTGTAGGGCCATGGTCATTGCATATGTAAGAGGACACCAAAAGTGTAACGTTTTAGGCAACACACGAGAGTCACACACAAGCTGTGGAGTCGCGTGTTCGCTCCGCGGACACTCGTTTCTCAGCCGTGCCCAATCGACGGTCGTCTGTTCTGCTTGCACTATCCCGGTCTTACCGTTGCCATGTCAGTTGCAGAATACAACTTAAGTTTGATCGAAATAAGTTATTTTGTACGGAGAAATATTTGGTGCCATATTACATAAAAATAAAATTGACATATGTCAACTTAAGGAGGTGGACGAAAATAACTGGTAATAAAACTGAACTTATAATTGCGAACAAAAGAAGTGGACGAAATATCTGTGAAAAAAAAAAAGTTCTGGCAGTCATACAAAACGAATGGTAGTTGTATAAATGTGGATGTAACTGACAGCAGAACAAAAACCTACGGTCGAAAAGTTTGTGGGCAAAAGAAGCGAGAATAACTGTTCGTGCAAAAGAGAAAAACAATGCTGGTGAAAATTACTGGAGGCGCACAGTACAGTACAGTGGATAATATTTTCTCGCAGTATTTCTTTTGTTTCCTTCGCGACAATAAGTGTGTGTTGCTGACTGTGTGTAACCTACCTGGATTCTGGGACGCGATGCGCGTGAGATAGTTGACTGCGTTCTCCTTCTGCATTACTTGGGCCACGTCAGGGGCGTCTCGGTAATCGAAATTCCCGAACCCATCACTGCCATGGATATTCTCCGCTCGTTGAAACGTCTCCACTATAGAATCCGCGGCTCCACGGAACACAGGAATCTGGCCACACATGCGTACAACATTTTTGTGGGATGATACTATTAAAACTGATATTATTATTATTATTATTATTATTGGAGGGGGTGGGTTTCCCCATGCACCGCGACCAGTTGTTGATCTATTGTACGTCCCCCTTTGCTATTCTACCAGTCTCCATACCCTACCGGTACTGGTGCGTGCTATCAGCCCCGTTGAGCCAACGAGGTCGGCCCTCGGTACTTTGATACTTCTCCCACCTACCAGAGGCATTTGAAACTACTTGGTCGGGAAACTGTTGCCTAATTTAGCTCAGAGGGCTCCTAGAGACATGAGGTTCTTTTACGTGCCGTAAATTTACGACACGGGACACACGGCTTAAAGTTCCCTGAATTTTTCCGCCTTTAAAAATTCCACGACCTCCACCGGGTTTGAACCCGCGTACCTTGAGTCATGAGGTGGGAACGTTACCCCTAGACTACGGAGGCCGCTGAAACAGATCTTAACGAAGTGGGTTAATGAGATGTGAATCCTCTGAAAATTATCTGCAGTCTCATATGTTCTGAAATTTATATTTTATCGCATAGATTTATTTTGTTTGCTTTCGCAGTGAAATTAAAAGAAGAATACGTTGCAGAAGTGTGTGTTAATAATATTACATCTGAGCATCTCATTCATTTCCGTCTTTAATGCAACTTAAAAATGTTCACAATCTCTCATAAATTTAAAATAACATTAAAATCACGTCAATTTCTGCATGTTTCGGCCTTACTTGGCCATCTTCAGGCAACTGTTAACTTTCTGAAACCGTTGCACTACATTAGATCGCAAGTCAATTTTATTTCCATGCTACTTCATTATCGTTGTTCACATGAAAATGAGATTCTTTGGGAACGAATCTCTCTCTCTCCGTTCCGCGTTTTTTTTCTTTCTTTTTGCGGCGTCCGTGTTTTTGCTTCCTTCGTGCGTATGTTCTCACTAGTGCGCGCATGTACGTAAGGACATATTGAGGGCTGCGCCGTAGCTCAAGCGGTTAGTCGCTGGCTTCCCACCGCGGCGGCCCGGGTTCGATCCCCGGTCTGGTCAAGTGGGATTTGTGGTGGACAAAGTGGCGCTGGGGCAGCTTTTCTCCGAGTACTTCGGTTTCCCCTGCCAATCTTCATTCCACAAATTGCTCCACAATCACCCTCACCTATTGTCTGGGGCTGGTACAATAGGCGAGAAGTTGCCGCAGTACAAGGGACTTAGTCCCACCCCACTAGCAATAAAAAAAATAAATGACATAGAATAGAAAAGCGCAACAACGCCACAAAAGACGTACGGGGGAGTGGAAGGATAGCTACACGTATTCCTAAACTCGGCAGTGGATGGAGATGTGTGGCCAATTTCACGCCCTCACTGCTTCAGTTCGGGTGGCAGAGCTCTGGAACCCATTTTACTCGTGGCTGCGTAATCATAGGAACAGTTTAAACGCTGTGGAGAAGAGAAAATTCTCCCGTGCTGCGAATCGATCTCCGATTCCTATCGTCCAGGTCGTAGCATATATTATTTTCGCGGCATTCAATTTAATTAATTTCGATATTTATGTAGGTCTAGAAATTTCTTTGCGGTTTGTTTTCTCTTTCCTAGTGCTCCTCAATGCCAGTTATATTTTGAATGTCTCTAATGTTACGTAAAACGAATATTTTTAAATGTCGGTTCTTTTCTTTATCCACTCTGTTGGGAATTCAGATTGCAACTCCAATCTGTATTCCCAAAAGAGCGGACAAAGTACACTGTAAGATGAGACACCGGCCAAACAATTAATGTCAAAGAATACTACACCTATACCACAGGCCTCCAAGCAGTTTACTATATGTATACATGTGTTGAATATACCATTATGTCCGCTAGAGTATAACAAGAAGATTGCAGCAACTGACTTCATGATATGTAATATCACATGAAGAGTTTCTAGCCATATTTTACTCCATAAATTTCGTTTTATAATTAGTTTATAATTCATTGTATTTTTATACCTTGTATTTCATAATGTAACAGTTCAATAGTGTATAAATATTGTAATCATGTGTTTTGCCTGATGATGGATTTAAAAAGCCGAAATATGTAGATGGGTAATTTTAACCTTGACCGTTATGTTGCTGTGTTACGACGGACTCCTATGTGACCTACAGCATAGTTACTCACTGTCCCTTAAACGAATTTCTTTAAAATATGACGATTTGTACAAGGACAGTAACTTCCTACAGTCACTTCGGGTACCATAACATGCGGGAAACCTCATAAGCAGCTTAGTTACTAACATTTCTTTTCCCGAAGCGTTGAGCTGTCTCCTAACTACATATCGTTAACAGCCTTAAAGACGATACACACTTTTCATAGCTGTGTTTTATAACGTTTATGCTCTCGGACAGAAAATGGCAAGACAGAGGAGTCTGAACCGAACTTCGTTCTCGTCACCACCAATACTCACGTCGAGTCGGCCAAGCGTGTGCAGTGTCTTCAGGGTGTTGGCGCACACGTTCTGCAGTGACGTGTTGCCATGAACGCACGTGATACCCCAAATGTTCGCGTCTCCCTTCCTCTGTGCTGCAGAACACAAGATGATGGCCATGGCGTCATCCGACCCCACGTCTGTGTCGATAACGAGGTTCAGGACCCGCCTGGACTGGACTGCAGCCATGTCGTAATCGCTACCAGCCGCCGCTGTAATTGCACAATATTGTTTTCTGCAATAGGCTTACAGCTAAATGACATGGTCTTCACCCTGCCTAATAAACATATCGTCGCCTTAATTATTAATGGTTCTATCTCCACTTTTTGTGGAATTGAGAAATCGATTACACGGTGTTTGAAACATGAATAATTGAAAACATTAGAGAGAACAAATTTGTTTCCTAATTTATGTTCTGGTTTTATTTATTTTGATCATGGATATACTGCCCTTATGCCCTAAGAAAATCAATGCACTTATAACTCGGAAAATAAACTGGAGATAAAACCATTAAGAAATAATACAACGGTGTATGTAGATATACTTATTGTCACGTGATACGAGTGACTACACAAGGGATTTGGATTGATAATTGGATTTATTGAACACTTACAAACAGAATTCTTAACTTCAAGCAACTGTAGCGCAATTGCTAATTCACTACAGAACCCACAGCATTCTCAGCTTTTCTGGTAACGGCTCCCAACGGCGGCCGTTCCCCTTACTCTGCGTTCCCCACCTGTCCCTGTGTCTCAGCTACCAGCTTCTGTCAGCAACAGCTCACAAGGACTGAACAGCAGCAGTCCTCTGATTCACTCACTCCGCTGCTCACCCTTTACGGCTATTCGTCCAGAATAGCCTACAGGCGTATCGCCATTTCTTTTCCGTAGGCTGTGCTTGTAACGTCTGTGATTGGCCTCGACTGCCTTCCCCGTCGGTCGGTTCTCACAGTAATTACTCTCCAACTGCTCCCTCCTTAAGAGCATGCGTCCCGGGTGGTTCCCTGATAAGGTGCCAGCCGGTTCATGTGTACCATCATCATCCTTGTTCTTCTTCGAGGGTGGCTGGCAAAAGTTCCGAGAGTGGACGGAGCTGCTACATCTCTGGGTCTTAAGCTGATAGTAGTAATCTTTCGCTTGGGCGGTTGCCGGCTCCTCCACAATGTCTCTCGTTTTCCAACTTCTCACGAAGACCTGACTGTTCGCTTCGCGATCTCCAGCACGATGGTTTATCCAACAGCCTCATAAAATGTCTCCTTGCTTCCAAGTCGTAGCTGCTGTTTCAGGCCTCGGCCCCTTATTCTGTTACTGAATTTCAGCTACGTCCGTCGTCTTCTCTCAACCGTCCTTCATTTAGGGCTCCCTCGTACATCGTCCTTGCCTGGTCCCTGACGACCGTGTCCTTTGCGCGGTGTAGGAACGATATGGCAGATCATCCGTCCTCGGGCAGAGACAAACTTCTGCAGGCACCCACCATCGCCCTGGGTGAATTTCTTCGCCTGTCGGAGGCACACTACGGCTAAACGCCCGTTCTGATATTGGTCGTCCAGAGCGGCCTCTTCGTTAAGCACTTTCTGCTGCTCCTCTTTTTCTTCAGGACTTCTGGAATTCATTGGAAGGCTTGGCTCTCCTCCGTTAGTCTAGTCAGCGGTTTCGTGACGTTGGCGAGATCGGAAATAAACCGTCCGTAACACGTACATAGGTCCAGCAAGCTTCTGATTTCGTGTTTGATCTTCGGGGTAGGCGATTCACGCACGGCTTTCAGCTTTTCGGGGTCGATGGTTATCCCCTCAGGTGACACACTGTGCCCGCGTTATCGTACCTCCTTCTGAAAAGGTTGCCACTTCTCCGGACTGAGCTCTGGGCGGAGTTCCCGGAACCGCTGAACACTTTCCGCAACGGGTCTACGTGCCGCAATACGTGGTATATATTTGCACGTTCGTTACGAAAATTTGCACAATTATGACTATTAATGCAGCCGCTTCTCTCTGTCTGTGACTTGTTTTTATCAACTTGTGAAATGATGAATGGATTTCCACGAAATTTTATGTTAGGGGTTTTCACACAAATATGTCGACATGTTCCAATTCTACTTAGAACTGAATCGCAAACTTTACAAGAAGATCCACGTGCATTTCTACCTCGTCTCCAGTGTAACTTGCTAAATATATATCTGAGCGAAAAATATTTCAGATGGCTATTATGGGGAAGCCAAAGCACCCAATCTAGGTCTCATACATTTTTCGGGTCAGTCATGCAGTTTTCTAGATGGTTAAACTAAACTTATCTTTATGCCCCTGCTGAAGAACATTTCGACTGAGTTTAATATCTTTTTCAAGTTAACATTCACGAATTCAAAACCTAGACGCAATGCATATTTATGCCAGTTATCGTGAAACTCAACTGACGAAAGGTTACTAGCTGGGCATCAACACGATTACGAGCAGCAAGACTGCAAATAACTGATGCTATGTAACAAAGAATAAAAAATATTACTATTTTCTGCGATGTGAGACCGTATAGTCTGGTAGATTTTTTCGATGTCCTGGAGGAACGTGCTTCTTCAGTCTTAAGAGTAGATTCTAAAGATGGTGTCAGCACGTTTCTCCGAAACGTCGGTCAGTCTCTCTCAGACTACAATTGCGTCGTAACCCAAACAACAGCACTCTTGAATGATGCCGCCTGAGGGCCTTAAATATGACACTAGTAATATTGTTAGGCACAATGTTGGTAAACTACAGCAAGGCTAATCCTACTCATAACCTAACGATTTCAATTTATGCAGGTGCTTGAAGATAATAGTTCCACATATTATCCACCTCGAAACCAGATGGTAGCATCACCGGTCACCTCTAGCGCTGCACCCATCGGTTTGGAGGCTGAAAGGACCACAAAACTATCCTGTGCTAGATGATAGGAACACCATGTCTACAGGTATGGAAGCTGAATTGTTAGTAGATTTATCGGAGAAGAGATATGAACATTTAATAATTCCAGCAGAAAGTGTGAATCCCCCCTAAAAAGACAGAAAGTAACCGAAGCATGTAGGGTGGATTTTAAGCAATTTATTTACTTGCATATGGTCTATTTAACGAAGTTGTCTGTAGATTAACATAACCTCGAATGGTATCGCGATGAAGGCAACGATAAAGTTTATCTACCTATCTATGGCTTTAAAGCCCGTGTGGACCTTGGACGCTTTTACAGATTTTTAATCTATACACGGTAGGACTCTGGACGGGGTATTAGCCAGTCGCAAGGCCGCTACCTACACACACAGCAACACAAACACAGAATAAACGCACACAGACAACCTTGCCTCAAGTGGGATTCGGACCCACGATCCCAGTGTTCGAGCGGGCGAAATCGGTTCATACCTTACGGCGGGTTTACACTAGGCAACTTAAAGCAACCTAGTTGCCCTCCTCGGGCGACTATGTTTGCCGTCAAGTTTATCAAGCAGCATGCGACCGACAGCATCTACACCCAGAGCGACTGGTTGCTTCAATTTTTACGTCGGCTTGTGTAGAGATGTCACTGCAGGCAGTTGCTGCCGCGGCTTATCTCATTTTGGACAGGAGAAGAAAACGTCAGAGAAGAGTGTGGTACACGAACATTTATATTAATAGTGATATACCTCGCAATTACTTTTTTAATAGACTTGTTGCAGATGACGGTTACTTGTTTAAAAATTTTAGTCGCATGTGTAAAGGGGACTTCAATTACCTTCGGGATATGGTAGCTCCTCTCATTTCAAAATCCCATACCCGACAGAATGCTCTTTTCGCGGTATTCTTCGATAGGACACTTGGCTTTATCCGTGTCCTAACTCGTCATGCCGCATGCGAGTAGGCAACTGAACCCACTAGCGATGGATAACCTTGCGGCCTGGAGCAACTAGAGGACGCGGGACACAAGCCGCATGCGATTGCGCTACCCACTACCTGCAAGTGAGCAACTTGCAGCATGCGATTGCGCCGCGTGCGGCGCGGTTGCCAATGGTTGCCTCAGTGTAAACCCGCCTTTAGACCGCGCGACCACTATGATCGGTTACGATAAAGTTATACTGGCGTTTAGTTCTTAACGTCGGTACTAGATGGAAGTGAGACTTACTAGTTAATAATGAAGTGAAATGAGTATGGGAAGAAGGGGGCGTGGCCTAGTTTGCGAGGGGGAACTTGCTTAAAAAGGTAATACTGCCGGTGCAGCCTGTCTCCGAGTCATGATTTCAACCCCGGACCTCTCAAATACCACTCTCCCGCAACATTCAGTGGCATCTGTAATAAAGAGTGTCTCTAGTGTGTCAAGGTACAGGACAAATAGCCAAATAACGGAAATAGCAATTTCAGTTACCTTGCAGGAATTCGATACCCGGTCCGTACAGTCTGTCACTTGAGCTCGTTGCTGATGTCATATGATGGGCCTCGAGATATGGGGAGGCGTCATATCTTGACCCATTAAGTTCTGAGGGTACTGTAACCAGCCGGAACAAATCCAAAAACAGCTTGTTACTTCCACTTCAGTAACAAAAGTACTTCTGATCTGCTGCGAAGATTTATGAAGTTCACGAACTTCATGCAGCATAATCCGTAATGTGAATAACTGATAGAAGAACCAGGCCTAAAGGAAATCTCTGAATAATAAGTCCCACAAACATGAACGGAGTATCGAATTGCAGTCTTCGAGTAGGCGCACACAGACACACACGAGCCTTGTACGTACGCGGGAGATCAGTAAATATGTCACAAGTGGAAGTAAAACAGCTGTAATGGACGTAATATGTTTTCCATGTGAATCACTAGGCAGCAGCACAGTCCAGCTTCGTGGCAGTCTAGGTAGCAGGAGCGCAAACGCATTGTCAGAGGCTGGTTTCAGTAGTAAAAATGGTGACCATGCTTGAGGGGTGTACTACAGAAGAGCAGCGTTCTGCTGTGGGCGAAAGGACTCAGTGCAAAAGATATTCATAAATATATTTTTCCTGTTCACGGCGGGAAGTGTTTGTGGCAAATATTTCGCTGGTGACGAATAAGTATAAATGAGGCGCGGAAGTGGCTGAGAAAACGAGTTTCGACGCACTCGTAAAGCGTTGGGATAAGTGTATCAATGTTGGTGGAGGCCATGAAGAGAAATACATTTTTCCTCCAGGTTCGAATATGATATGTTACACATTTTATATCCATTTGTGACCTATTTACTAACTCTCTCCTGTATAT